GGTATGTTCAAGTAGATTGGGACCCTAGTAGTAAATGTCTTCGTCGATTATTCTATATGTCTCCTGATCAAATTGAACGATGGTTAAAGTTTGGTGATGTTGTCCTAAATGATAATACTAGCGCTACTAATCGTTATGAGATGGCGTTGTCCCTTTTTTTGGTGGTTGATAACCATTTATCTTCCAGACTTGTGGCTCAAGCATTGACAGATGACGAAACAAAAGATGCACATAGCTGGATTTTGCAGCAGATTAAACAAGCAACAAATAGTGCTACTCCACAGGTTATTTTTACCGACGCGGACCCTGCCTTACTCTCCGCAATACGTGATGAGTTTCCAACTACAAACTCTCTTCATTGCATGTTTCACATTGCTCAAAATATTCCTCTCAACTTGAAAAACCATCTTAAAGACAATTATGATGAGTTTATTAAAGATTTCTTCGAAGTACAACGAGTTAGCTTTGTTACAATATTCGAATATCGGTGGAAATGTCTGCTTGATAAGTATAGTAATGAGAATGTAATTAATTACTTGCGACGGCTTTATGCCAGTAAGGAGTCATGGGCAAAAGCCTTTGTGCTTAAATTATTTACAGCTGGAATGTCATCTACTTCGCGGGTTGAAAGCTATAATGCAAAGGTCAAGAGATTAATATTTAATTCCAATACAACCATGTTAGAACTTGCAGAAAAATTAACAGCATGTGTTCTCGAAGAAGACAAAAAAACAGAATACGCTTTATTTCGTGCGTCAGTTCCTAAAGCGGCTTTGGTTGCGACAGCTGATAGTATTCTTCCAAATGTTTGTAAAATGCTACGCAAGTATCTAACTGTAGAAATGCTTAAAATTCAAGAAGATCAAATAAAACAATCACTTCAATATCATGCGACGATAGTGGTTCAAGAAGAATTGCAAAGATTTCTTAACGTAAGTAATAACCGGTTGTAATTATAAAATTTGTTGTAATCAGTAATGGTAAATTACTATCGCTATAACCAGTAATCTTGTGGTAACTTACCATTGCTGGTAATTCTCATTTTGTTTAAAAATTGCAGATAAATCTTGATGATCCTGCTTTATTTGGTGAAAATCTTACTGATATTATTGCTAAGTCAATGCTTGATCTCATCGATACGAATAAGATTGTAGAAATGTGGGGAGTTCGACGTGTTATATCAAATGAAACACAGCATTTTGTAATACTATTGAATGATGGAACACATTTATGTTCTTGTCTCGACCATTGTAATCGCGGAATTGTTTGTCGCCATTTTTTTCAGGTAATGCTGTGTACACGAGATGCAACATTCCATATTCAGCTTATAAGGTCACGATGGTATAACGAAACTAGTAATGATCCGGCACAAGAATCATTTCTGGTTGCACAAAAATTTGGAATGGAACAGTCAGTAACAATGGGCTGGAATGGTTTAGTTCCTTATCTTAATGCTTTAAATCAAGGTACCGTGTATGAAATGAAGGATATAAACCGCAAGACAATAGATGAACGTAAACTGTATGGTGAAGCATGGGGCAAGGCTAGGGCAGCTTTAATGGTAGCCGTTCGAAGACATGATTACAACTTTATTTCTATTCTTGATAAATACTTGGAAGATTGCCGAGAACTACCTTCTAATAGTGATAGTGATGTTGATTCAAATAGTGCATCAAATAGTGAAAGTGAAGATAGTACCAGCAAAATTGAAAAAAGAAGGTTGGATCCAAAAGAGTTAATGAATCCTCATAAACGTAAGGGTAAGGGTCGGCCCAAGGGAACTAATAGAATACGACGTGCTGATGAGCTACCAAAAAAAGCAAAACGCAAGTTACACTGTAAGATATGTGGGGGCACCGGTCATAATCGGGTAACTTGTTCTAGAAGACAAGAATAATGATAGTGATTAGGTAATATTGGCAAGTATGTACTGCAGTTGAATGTTGTAAATAAGAGTGATGTCACGAACGCCGATTTTTAGTTCATAATGTTTTTTTTTGGCATCGTTTAAGTTGCTTATTGAAATTGAAATTTTAAATTGCCAAAACTAGTTCGACAAAGATTTGTTTGCTTACTCAAAATTTTTATTATTATGAAAGTGTTTATTTAACTACAAACAGTTTTGACATGATCGTATTTTATACTATATAACTAGAAGTAAGGATGATAAATTGGTTTATCGATCTGATTTAAGATCAGATTGATCTGGTTTAGTATTATAGAAATAATTTAACATCCTTAACTAGAAGTAAAACGTGAATTGTGAGCTATGTACGTATTTAAATGCAAATGTGATTATGTAATGAGTTTTATTAACTCATAAGTTAGGTTTTCCCGGGGTTATCATAATATTTCTTGCACTTATGTATGTATGTATGTAGAACAAAATTTAATAGTAAACTAGAATTCAGAGTTTGGAACTAGTTTATATTATATTTAAACTGACTTTAATCAGTTTTAGTATAAGACAAATAAAACCAGTTCTAGGCTCTAATTAGATATTTCTAGTATGGTCACTAAAAAGTTGTAGTCGTGTGAAACGACAAATTAAAGTTCATTAAGGTTAGGGTTCGCGTTTGTATTAGGGTTGGATGATGGCAGGGTTATTAGTAAAATCGCTTAAGGAAAACTTTCTGTTAAAGCGCTAAAAATGGTTTCCTATGCTGATTTTTGAGTTATGGGTGATTTTTAACAAAACAAATATTTGCCTTGAATTTTCATGGTTGTGCTATGTTGCACCTAATCTTGAAATCTAATTTCTGAATTTGTTTGTGCTATGAAAATATCACGTGATCGCAACTTTTGGTGACGATAGTTTCTAAGGAAAAGTCTCCAGACACCTACCAGTCTAACCAATTCGGGTAATTTTTTTGTATCTACATACCTATTTAAGGTAAGTGGGGGTTTAAAATTATAATACATAAGTGCAATTCACGTGATCTGGTAGGTGTCCAAAAACTACCCCAGTATCGCCATCAAATTTTCACTTTCACGTGATGATCATCCAATAGCGAGTTTCGTTTTAATGTAACGTTACATGATCAGGAAGATCAAAACAAAACGTTCGCTTTTCAAAAATCGCTTATTTCTCAAAAACTTGCATAAGAAATCACCTTTGGCGCTCTAACAAAAAAAATTCCTCAAGTGATTTTACTATTACCCACCTAAAACCTAGCCATATTATAAACGCTAACCCTAACTTAAACGAATTTAAAGATTTTAAACGCTGTCACGTGAAAGTGAAAATTTTGATGGCGATACTGGGGAAGATGGTGTCCAAAGACGTTCTCATTTTCTAATTAGGCAATTATCACGTGAATGCTTAGTATATTATTTACAATATAGTATATAAAAATACAATATAAAAAATTAAATTATAAAATATAAAAACATAGCATTATAGTGCTATAGCACTGTAGTGCCATAGCACTATAAAATAAATCCCTTTAAATAATTGCAAATTATTAATAAAAAAAATTTATATATAAAGACAAAAAATTGAGCTTTTGTTCTATTGTTCTATTTGCCAACACTGGTAATGACCGTTTCACATAATAAATAAAGGCTTTAAATTTCTGCATCAGCTTTGGCCTCAGAGGGGCCAAAGTTGGTGCATTAAATTTAAGAACGAAACATCTAATGCTAAAAAATACTAAAAAAATACACAAAAAAACTTTATATTTTTCGGTGGCTTGTCTATTTGATCTTATTACTCATTTCATTTTAATCTGATTTTATTTTAATTCGTCGCACAATAATTATTGTTAAAATGTTTTTGTTCAAAGATTAAAAAATTTCACTATTTCTATTATCTAAAAATTATTAAAACATAAATATATTAAAATATTAAAACATTAATACAGTAAGACCTCTCTAAGTGCACGCTCTATAAGTGCACGCACTATGTAACTTCTCTCTAAATGCACTGCATAACTTGGCCCCAACTTATAAGAGCATTATATATTTTTCTCTCTATAAATGCACTCTCTCTATAAGTGCACGTTTTGCTTTTTTTTGATTATGGTCCCGAGGGGATGCACTTAGAGAGGTCTTACTGTATACCAAAACACTAGATCACTGAAACTCTAGAACATCAAAATACTTTAGAATATTAAAATACAAGAACATTAAAACACAAGAACAAAATACTAAATGCTAAATATCAAAACACTAAAACATAAAAACGCTAAAACATTAGAACACTAAATCAATAAATTATTAGAACACTAAATCAATAAATTATTAGAACACTAAATCACTAGAACACTAAATTACTAAAACACAAACACTAACCACTAAAAATGTTGTCACTTTGTGTACCAATAGTACACCGCATCTAACACCTTGCAAAGATTTCGATTTTAAACTTATTTTTTATATTATGATATATTATACATATCGATATATATAATAAATAATTATAAATCACAAAAACTAGTATCACTACTATAATCTGATGTTGGTGGCTGAGAATCGGCAGGATAACAACCCTCACCTACACAACGAATAATGCCACTATTGTCAAGATCTATCAATGAGCCAACACATGTTGTACCTACATTATGTTGACATTCTCCAATGATAAATGCCCATTGTGCACAATTCGGATCAGCAGCACATGATTCACAACAACTTTGCGGAGTGAGTACTGTCATTGGTAATTGCAACACCACCACCAGGACGTATTTGATTGCCCCATCCACTACTACTAGGTGCTTCACAACATTCTGGACATTTGGAATGATGAGGACGATGACGAGCATCAATGGTTATAACTTGCACAAATATATAATAAAGCAGAATAATTTCAACCAAATTAAAAGTACAGAAATTCATAATTGCAATAGTATTTGGAGGAGAAAAAAGATGAATAATGGTAAGCGAAAAAATAAAGAATGTATACTCGTTATAAGTAAAGGATAAGTGTTATGAAAAAAAGAAAAAATACCGTCACTTTCTCACTAAATATATAAGAAAGCATGTATGCTTGTAATATTATACAAAACTACACAAATTTTGCACAAATTTATATTGTATTAATTTCATATATAGTTAGACCAATCATACCTTTCTAAATGCAACCCCCTTATTACATGAAATTTCGTACGTACGTACGTACGTTGTAAAAAGGCAAATAATTCTCTGATTCTAGATAATGCCAATATACACTTCAACACAACACTAAATACTAACTAAACTACTCTAACCAGAACACTACAACTAGTACAACCAAACCCTAATATTGGTAAAGCAACGATCTGAGTATGAAAAGACTTGGTTGGAGTAACCAGGGTGAATTGGGTTCTTAATAATAGTGTTGGATTAGAGCTCTAGATTACGTTACGAATCTCTTTATTCACAGTCACAGGATTTGGTCACAAGTTACAATCGTTATCACCGATTTTACTTATTGGGGAGAATTAGTGAAGACAAACACTTCTCAATGCTAAACTCCAACTGAGTTTAATACTTATAAGAGTGAATCACAAGTTAAATACTCTGATTTCTTTAATTTGGAACTTTGAACTTCACCGAGTTATCAAACTCACTGAGTTAGTTTTTATTCAAGCGAAAAGGCGGGTCTTATATATTTTTTACATACTTATGTATATAATGACTATAGCTAACATATCTAACATATCCAGCATGTCCAACATGTTCGCTATGTTCACTATATTGACTATGTACACTATGTGCGCTATGTTGATTATATTAAATATATTGACTATAATGAACATTCTTTCTATCTAAGGTAATGATCTACAGTATTTTTGCTTACTACTTTTAGGAAAGTTATTGAACAAATACTAACAAGATTTTTTTAAGAAAGGAAAACAATTCACAGTCAGAAACAATAATATATACTGTATAAAATAAAAATAAAATAAGGTGAGACCAACTGAATTCTGTGTTTTACATTACCTCCTTTCCTCATTGGAGGAGAGGGGAAGGAGGGATTTGTGGTTTATATAGTAAAATTTTCAAAATTTTTTTTCGAAAAAAATATTTTCTGAATTGTTTCATAACTAGGAATGGGCAAATCAGTGATTTTTTGAAATTACTGCACAGCCTACATATCCCTGATCCCTCTAGGAATCTAGAATTCATGACTATATATATATATAAAACATCTACTTTGTATAGGCTCCCATTATTTTTTATTAGTGCTTCAAGGTCAGTTTAAACATTAGTTTTTGAGTTTTGTATTTTTTTCACTTGTAGCTCCTTCAAATAAATTTTGACTGTTTTTTAAAACTTTTAGTGAAGTTTATTTGACGACTATCTGATAATTTTGATAAAAATTTTTTATCCAAATTTTACTAGGTTGTAGAATTCAAAAAAAAAGATCACATAGAAATTTATCAGGCTATTATCAAGGAACTTATTTCAAAGTCTAAAAAAATTTCAACTCTTTTTCAAATCTTTAAACAAAGAACCACCTGATAAATTTTAATAAAAATTTTTTATTTAAATTCAAGTTTGTAAAATTTAAACAAAAAAATTTTCATTGAAATTGATCAGGTGGTTGTCAGAAAAATGTAGGCAGGACTTCTTTGTACCAAATTTTTTTAAATCTTTGAGTGAAATTTTCTTACCAACTATTTGATCAATTTCAAAGAATTCTTTTTATTCAAATTCTATAAGTCTGTAGAATTCAAATAAAAAATTTTTATCAAAATTAATCAGATAGCTGTCAAGAAAACTTTGTTCAAACCTTCAAAAAATTTAGATATACCATCACAATACACAGTGAAGTTTTTTTGACAACCACCATAAAAATTTTAATAACCGTTTTCTGTTTGAATAAAACAAGCTTGTAGAATTTATCTATAAATTTTCAT